CATCCATATACACTTCTTGCGGCTCCTATTTTCCTCGATCTCTCTTTCAAAGGAGCTCGCATCTCGCGACGATCAGGAGGAAAAGGAGAAGAAAGGGAGGGGAAGAACGGCGCAAGAAATATCGCGCTTAGAAAAGGTTACGTTTATTTCGCAACCGTGTTCCTTTTTGCCCGTGTTCCCGCGCGAAATTCCGACCGATAGATACGGATTTATACGGATCGATCTCTCGTTTGTTCTTATCGTTGCTCGAACACGTTCCATCGCTCGGTTTCGATCGAGCGGCCCCGCTCCTACCGTGGGATTTACTTTCGCAACGAAATTCGTTATGTATATATATATATAAATACATATACCGTGGAACGACAGACGCGCGGTGCAGTTGATTGCGCCCGAACCACTTTAAAACTGGGGAAAATTTTATAATTTACGTTGGCGTGCAAAGTTTGTTTGTTCTAAGGGGGGAGGAGGAGTAGGGTAAGGGGAAATTAACGAGCGCCGCTGCATAATTAAAATGTGACCGCGCTTTCGGTAATTACTGCGACTTCGAGGTGTTCGATCGATAAACCTGTATAATTGAAAGAACTACAAATGTTTACCGGTTCGAAAAATATTTATGTATGTACTTTATGCGCTTATTAAAAAAAAAATTCTTAATATTTTTCTCATCTCTCGACCATCATTAACCGTTAAACTTGATCTTTTCTCTAAACCTCCTGTCGTCTGATTGAAACCTCAATTAATCAAGATCATCTCGCAATCCTTCGACTAATAAGCAAATATTCCATGGAAAGATTTCAATCAAGACTCTCTCAAAGAGAAAGAGAAGAACTAGCCGTTTCGAAACTGGAAGAAGTCGAGCATAACCCACTTTCCTTGGACTCGCTGGAGTTGCAACTCGCGATACATGAAAGCGGAATTCCACCGTCGAGCGACGAGCTCTAGTAGACTCAGGATTATAAATAAATTATTTCCACGCTCCTATTCCAGCGGCGCACCAAGTCGATCGGCAACCAGCTTGATACAGAACTGTCCCCGCAATCCGCGTCCATCAGCGGGACGTATTTATTGCCGTCCTCGCGGCGACTCGAGAGGCGCGCGCTTAGAGAGAGCGATTCGCTTCTCTCGAACGAGTCGCGACTTAATGAGCTCGCGTGTGTGATGTACGAACGCGCTTGTGTGCGCGTGTGTCGTGCGGCGGAGGGCAGACCGTTCGATCAGGTATGAGATATCATTCACGGCGCGGAGCGAAGCGGAAGCCTCGAACTCGATTCGATCCTGGCAAATTAATGCCGCTCGAGATATCTCATTCAGACGTACTTACCCGGCATGCTCGCCGAGCCACGCCGTCTGCGTGTACACCAACACTCGAGCAAGCGCAATAACTGGCCGCGAGCACGGAGTTTCCAACTCTCTGTATCCGTCATGAGTCATCTATCAGGGCCCGCGTCGATACACGGCCGCCAATTTATGACGAGAATTTCTGTTATGCGAAACGTGTACATACGATGGAAGACTTTCGAACGAGCATCACGAGACAGAATTCCCGCTTTTCACCCTCCACGCCGTACCGTATATCTCGCGCGCGAGATCCTCGAGCACGGTGTTAATGGAAATTATATTCCTCCGGAGTTCGATTCGATCCCGATGTCCGACGCCGGAATTTTATGCGCGCTCGTAAAATCCCGATTCCATCGGCTCGAGAATGGTGATGGTGATGATGGTGGTGATGGTGGTGGTGATGATAGTGGTGGTTCTCGCGAGAATTTCAAAGCCAGGGGGAACGACACGTTCGATTCTTTCTTAGGCGCGACACGAGCCACTACCCATCGGAGAAATATGTTGAGGGAGCAATTCCAGGCTCGATATCGAACGGGAGGGTAATTATCGCTTCGAAAATAGAGGTGAAAAAAGGTGTACACGTTTGGACGTATGCTTGATTATCTCGGATCCGTACGGGAGTATTTCGAGTGGTGTATACACCCGCGCCACTTGAACGTTTCGACGTGTAAATGCGAAGCTCGAAAGGGTTGGAGGCAAGGGGTCACGAGGACACGGCAATCGCCACGAGCTCCACTCTGTGTACACTAATTTCCGGCCTGTTTGATAGATCTTGGGTGATTGTTAATTATGTTTAGAGAACCGAACCGTTTCGAGAATCTCGAGGACGTCTGCTCGTGAGACCCGGTTGACTCGATACACTTCAAAGCGGTATTAAATCTACCGGCCACCGTCCCTAACTCCGTCTCTCCCTCATCTTCCTCCCATCTACGTCTTCGTCCGTCTTCACGTCGGAGTAAATTAGACAAATACCATTTAGACGCAAACGATGGCACGGCAAATGTTAAACCGTCCCTGCTACTATTTGTTGAGTCACCCTTCTCTCTCTCTCTCTCTCTCTCTCTCTCTTTCTCTCTCTATCTATCTCTCTCTTTACCTCTTGGATTCGGCACACGTAACATCGGGAATGCCGGAGGTAAGTTTGATACATGGGCACACCCCGAGCGAGCAATTGGAGAGGATTCGTTTCTGGACTATAGAGCACGCCGTGGCTACGATTAACTGGATACGCTTGTTGGTTCGGTAACGCGATTCTCTTGGCCTGGTTTAAGGAAAATTTCAACTCGCGATTCACTCGCTGCGTTGCGTTTTCCTGTGTTTCCGTGGTACGATTCGTTAAGGGTAAATTGGGGCAACACGGGCTTTCGGTATCTCTGCTCTTTTGAAGCAGGGAGATCTCGATGTTTGGTACCATTATCGCGAGTTCAGCTCTGTTAATTTTCACGAGATTCTTGTTCCAAATGGAAGTGCGTTATTTACGGCCCATAATGGAAGGAGGACGATTAAGGTTAGAATAAAGCGAAACAGTTGGAAGAAGTGGAAACGAGGATTATAAATTATCGAGTTTCAGTACTGGTTTTGGAATCCTTATTTTTACGCTTGATTTTAAAGAAAAACGAGTTTTGCCGGAACGATATCGAACGACTCGTGATATCGAATTAACGTTGGTAATAGTAACCAGTGTATTATCGACGAAAGAACAGAGTTGTCTCTCTCGGTAGAAGATTTATATGCGTTAACGTTTCGCTGCACATTATTTTACTTTCTAACATTTATTATTCCCAACGCGTGATGTAAAAATGGAATGATAGGTCCTCCGCGTGAACTGGTCGGTCGCCATGAGAGGGCAAGAGAGCGATTCGTGAAACTTTGATCTCGCTTGAATTTCAATCTCGCGAGGAGTGTTATTACCACGTAGGCAGTCGAAAAGAGGTGGAAGAATGCGGCGAACGCGATATTACGCGCTTAAACGTGGGTGCTACTTCGGTGTAATTTCCTCGACACTTAGACCGTTGATGGGAGGCCACGAGCGGTTAAATAATTACGAAACAATGATATTCGGATTTCGTAAACATCTCTCTGTGGATCAACCGTCCGAGTTGCAACGAATAATAATTTTCCAAAGAATAATTTTCGAAACGAGCGTGAAAATCGTTGGACAAAAGAACGGCCCTCCCTCTCCCTCTCCTCTATTAAACCGATGACGAAGAGGAGTGGCTGTGCAATTTAGTGAAAATCGATTATGCCTTAACACGAGTGATTCACGATTCTTTTAGCATCTGCTTGTGCGCGAAAATTTAATACATCAATTTTCAAACTTAAATCTCCATTTAATTTTTCAATTTCCATTTCTGAACTTTTAATTCTTTAAAATAGTTTCTTTCAACGAGAATATGTTAGAGGTTAAAAGTTGTACTGTAAGTATCTTGTTAAAAAAGTTATAGGCTGTTTTCTCTGTAAACTTAGAGACAGTGAGATTATTAGGACTTTTAACGATTACCCTTTCCTTATCGTAACAAAGTCTTGAGTACTTGTCTTAAGCAAAAGAAAGATCTACAATAAATCAATCCCTTACTTATTATCCGTAAAAATAAAATTATTATAAATTCATTTGCTCGCGGAATACGATAAATTGATTATATTATAATCAACGATCGCTGCAAACTGATAAGCCACCGATATTATCGAGTTCGATGACTCCATCCACCTGGTTATACCTCGATCTCGTAAAGTTTCACGAGGGAAATGGTGGCCGTGTCTGTTCACAAGGGAATTACTGTCATCGGGTGGGCGAAAATTATTACCTAAAAAAAAAAAAAAAAGAAAAAAAATAATAAATAAATAAATAAATAAAAGAACACGAGGATACAAGAAGACCGTTGTTACTGGTCGAACGTAAGTGCTATTGCAATGGGTGACATTCCCAGAGCAGTGCAGCCGGTTTTATTAGCAGCGAACGTTTACGGGATATTTTCTAGCGATCCGTTCGCGAGTAAACGGCGAGATGGTGGAAAAACGAGCAGTGATCGAGAAAAAAGGGACACACGATGGGTATCTAGAAGGGAAGAGCGTCGTGGAATTTCGCGTTTTTGAACGACCAAGGCTTGGAATGCTTGCCAAGATATCCGCAATGAAGCGCACTGTGATTCATTGAATTTCGTGGAGGCGTTATCGTGGTTGAAGGAAAAAAATAAAAAATAAAAAAAATAAAAAAAAAAAGAAAAAAAGAGAGAGAACACGATGGAAAGAGATGAGAAACTGGAATAAAATATTTTGACGCGATGCTATTCATTCCGTGGTCGTTCCGAATATTTTACTCGCGAGGGATCGGGTGCAGGAGTCGAAGTGAATATTTCATCGCCGCAATATTACCCATTTCTACAATCTCCTTGCTGCGTTTAGGAACATTCCGTTTTAACGAGATGCTTCTTTCTCCATTGTATCAGACAGGTTCGTTTGAACGCATGCATTCTTCAAATTCCTCCAACTTCCATAATTCAAGTTGCACTATCATGATGTTATTTCCATATCTCCCCGGATCAAAAATGGGAGGAATAAGCGCAGGAATATGAAGTAACCTTCTCTCCTTATTACTGCCGAGTAACCGAGTTTCAGGTCGAGCGAATCAATCCAACGTATTCCAAGATTTTGTTCAAAAATTACAGAAAGAAGATCTCTTCGATTCCTGACCCGAGCAACGCGGTTGGCAAAAATACAGATACAGAAAACGAGAATCGGAGAAAGAGGAATCGAGGAGCGGGTATTATATAATAAAGCTCGGAGGCAAATAGATTAGAAGTTCCCCGCTAATTTCACCTAATAAATCCCGTCGTGTTCTGTCCCGGTGTGGCACGCATACGAAATTAACCGGGGGAGACGCGGAAATTGAGGGGGCGGAGAACTTTATCGGGTAACCAACGTCGACCGCCTTTAATTTATCTCCTGTCCCGGCCTCTCGTTCTCCCTCTCCGTAAAGCGGTGCACGCATAATCGCGGTACCCCTGGACGTTATCGGTTGCACCTGAAGATCGGCTTGTCTCTAAGTACGATATTCGAGATTTATCGTCTCAATTTCAATGGGCACGCTCGGTCGTTACCTATTAAGTTATCGGTGTTCTGCTACCCTTTCGCGTGCCCTCCCTCCCCGACCTCTTTCCAGATTCCCATTTACATTGAATCTTGTGTTAAGCCTTAATATCTGATTATCTGCAATCACGACGTCTTGTAACACGGTTGTAACACAACCGCTTCTACTAAGGAGGAATTTCCTTGGAAACAGTGAGAGGAAAAGGCGGCGCGTCAACGGTAGCGATACGGTCGGATTCCAACAACTCTCTAGTCTTGTACTCTCTCCCTCTCTCCCTCCCTCTCTCTCTAGCGAGGAGAATCATAATTGGGCCACTCGACGAACACAGGGTATATACCTACTGGCTGCATCACGATCCGACCCGGTGAGAATGGCAGCTATTGTCTATGAAACGTGTGCGGGCGGTTTATCGGTCCACGAGATCGCTTTATTGATTTTGGCCGTTGCCATCAAGATACCCATTCCCGGCACAGCTAACAATGGCCACTGTTAATGATCGACTGCAGCCAGAAGTTACGGGTTTCCGTGATTCATGATTGGCCGACGGTTACCCTGGCTCGATCCTCCTCGAAAAGTGATGCACACGGTAGCCGGTTCAAAATCTGCGCGCAGTACTTAAACATCTTGCCGCTCCGTTTAATGACCGCCGTTTCCAACCGTTGTTTCCACCGTTGTTCCCGAACGAGGGAAACTTCATCAAGTTTTAATTACCAATTCCGATGAAACTTCATAGACGTCGGCGCCACGTGGTTTGCGATGCTTGCCGCCGCTAACCTTTAGCAAACTATTTCGCGCTATTTCAAATTTTATATTAATGTTACGTTATTCACGCTTTTTCCTTTAATTATTTTTGAATTTTATTTTTGAATAGTATTTTATTAATATATCTTATTGGAATGAACTATTACTATTTGAATTAGTAATAATTCTAATTACACGTTTAATATGAATGGAAATAAAGATGTAACGCGTTAGATATAATTCGAGAAATGAACTATGATTAAACTATGATATCCCTTTATACGAATTGCCTTTTCGTTTTCACAAATTAATTTTTACCGTAGATACCATTACGTATATGAACTTATATAAATTATTACGAATGATTAAGATCGAAGCATAAGTTGGACAGACAAATTCTTTTTTAACAAATTCCACGATTACCATTACATCATACTATTCAAACATCCATAGAGAAAATCTATTTCATGCGTTTTATTATTTTAAATTCAATTTAAAATGCGAAGGTTGAACGGTTCCCGAGATCGATCTTCGATCGTATTCCTATCCATGCCTGTTCCTCATCCCACGCCGGGGGAGCAATCTCGCGATGCATCTGTTTGCGCATCGGTGTATCGCTCGCGTGCACGTGGTGTTTTTACACCGCCACGTGTAATCCCTCCGAATTCCGTGATCCAAGGCCGCGAATAAAGCCGCGGCGCTACTCGCAATCGGCGTAACTCATTATTACGGCGCCGACGACTTGCGGTCAGCGCAAACCTGACCTTCGCGTTCGAGTCTCTCTCTCTCTCTCTTTCTCTCTCTCGTTTCCTTATCGCATCTCTCTCTCTGTCCGTATACACACCACGATCCCTAATGACGAAGCTAACTCGAATCGAATTGAAATTGAACCGATTGCGCGATGGTGAATCGCCTATCGGCCAGCGATGAAATTTTCCGCCTCCCGTCCCCCTTCTTTCCGCGAAAAAGAAACTGCACTCGACGTACACTGGCGTTTATCGTGACCAGAAACAACTATCGCTCCTGGATATATTTCGGGGAAAGTTAACGTCCGTCCGAGTTACTGCTCAAACTTTTATCCGCCGCCAACTTTTTCCAGATACGGGAAGGGGAGGGAGGGTTGCGGCTCCAGTTAGCCTCGAGGCTCTTAACCGAACTTGAAGTGTCGCTTTCTCGCGTTCTGAAGCTTTTTTGTCGAAATCGTGCGACGAGGTGCTCGGCGAAACAGCACAGTTCTTCATAAATTATTTTAATCGCTGTTTTATTCTTGCTTGGAACGTTGGAAAAAAGGATGTGACGCACGTAAATTCTTTACACGTTACAAAGAGAATTTACACGTTTCCGTTTTCGATGACAGATAAACAGATTCTTCAAAAATGAAAAATACGTGTTCGACGGAGGAGGACTTGAGATTGAGGCGAATGATAGAATCGTCGTTTCGACGGAGATTCAATGGGGGTTCTATATAGAACGATCGTAAATATTCCACACCTCGTTTCTCTCTCGCGGTGTAAAGAGGCCGCAAAAGATACTCCCCATTCCTCGTTCTGCGTTGACTGGGGAGAACAGGGCAGTGGCGGGATCGGCGCAGCAGGTGCAAATCCGATATCTTTTCATCATAATCGTCGCTGATAATGGGCTTTAGAAGTTTTAAATTACCGAAAGAACGGGTTGGAATTTTTCAAAGTCAGCTGCACTCGCATCCGGCCACCGGATATCGCGATACGTGCGCCGCCATTGAGAAAAATCGTTTTTCGCGCCACGAAAAGAAACGTAGCCGTCCGATTAATCGTTGTCAAAACGTTGAATGTGTATCTCGTGGCGGTGATCTCGGATACGAGGGTGGTCGATTTCGTGGCCAGGATTCACCTTCGATCACCACCTGCAACCACGTTCGCCGCGCAGATTCGAGGCTTAAGATTCGACGCGTGTACACCGCTTTAACAAAGTTTCTCGCGAGGGGAGGGGTGCGTCCAACTCGCTCCAACACCGAGAAGCGAACGTACAGAACGCCTCTTCGGACAGAGGAGATCGTGAAAAACGATTTCTCCCGAGAAACCCTTCGAAAATCGACAAATTATCCCTCACCTTCCTCCTTCGGGGAATTGGAAGAATGTTTCGCGAAGGAGGGGGGCACGATAATCATAAAATATTCGCCGGTTTCGTTCGAAAGGGGAAAGAATAAGGGGGATGGTCGGTCGTTATTTCGTTTAAGACGAAAACGATGTTTCGTGCGGCCGCGGAGACCGTGAAAATTGCCTCGAGCTGGATCCACTCTTATCAAATAAAAAGAGGGGGAGGGAGAGGGGGCAACGATGGTGGCGAGAGACGCACGGCCTCGGAAGAGAGGTGGTGCTCGGGGCTTACGGACG